TCCTGGATCAACCAGGCCAACACTAGACTACTGGCAATTCTGAATACATTGGCACCGCTCGCTGTCTTCACTCACATTCAACGTTGACTGGTTGGGCGGTGGGGCTTTCCTATGGAAGATTGCGTTGCAAATTTCCTCAAATGGGAGGGTATCTTCTTTCTGGATGGTGAACAATGGACTGTCCCACCGGTTCCGGGAATCTGGAGCCTCAAATCGCATCACCAATGCATCGAAACTTATGAAATTGCAAAGCATAAATTAACTGTTATAACTAATTCAAAAAGACTCAAAGTACAAACAGTGGGATGGTCTTACAAAACAATGCAACATACTGATTTTATACAGTACGTTCATTAAGTAATAAAATGTTACCAGACAAAGCGCCACATGAAAACGAGACAGACAGACTTGGGCTGTTCACACGACCACTGGATGTCACATATTACAGCCAAGTTCTTTTGAAAGTACAGTTACTGTTGTGATACAAAGAACTGCGGATGCTGGGATAACGTTCGACATAGACTGGTTGGACCAAAGGGTCTGTTTGCATGCTATATGACTCTATGACAGTGGTGACAAGCTCACATTTCTTGGGAGTATTGCTCCTCTGGCTCTCTGTTCCGGTTCCACAATGAACAGACATCGACAGCAGTGTCACAGTGAATCTAGAAACAAAAAAAAAAAAAAAAAAATCCAATTTCATCCTCGACGGGAAATAGGCTTTACTAACAAAAGTAAAGTACTCCAGATGGTGAAATTCTGAAATAAAAAAACAGATCATGTTAGAAACACAGCTGGTCAGAAGTCACCTGTGGAAAGATAGACAGTTAACGTTTCAGATCAATGACATTTTATTGTATTTGGGAAAAAGTTACAGATGGAACAGATTTTGAAGAGGGAGACAGGGAAAACAGGGTAAGGGAGAAAGGATCAAAAGAAATGATCTTTAATAGGTGGCAGTGTAGAGATAATAAATGACAAATGATGAGGGTGCAAAGTGAAGGTGGTGATAATAGGAAAACTATACAAAGTTTGGGTTTACAGAGGTGTGAATGGAATGGCAGAATCAGGACTATTACCTATCATCTGAAAAAGTGGGGCAGGAGTTCAGATTTCAAATAACTGAATTCAGTTACTAGTCCAGAAGGCGAATAACAGCCACATAAAAAGACAAGATGCCGATCCTTGAGCTTACTCTATTCGAATGAATCTGTGTGGAGGTCATAGATTAGGAAGACTGTTTTCTATTTATTGCTCATGATGCTGCCTTCACTAGGTCAGGAGGGCAATCATTTTGCCTCCGTTCAGTTCCGTCACTTGTCAGTTCCGTTCTCCTTGCCACTCTGACCTTTCTGCGCATGGAACATCACCACTTGCAGCACAACCCACCCACATTCCATGAAATTTTTTTTTAAAAAGGAGCGACAATCCAAAAGGAATGATTGCAGCCCTGGACAGTGAGAGCAGAGGGGACGGACTATTTCTTGTGCTTTGTAGGTTTGGTTTCAAAATAAAAAAAGCAGCAAATAATTCGTGGGATGAGGGTGTTGCTGTACTGCCAATCCTTAATTACCTTAGAGAAGGCAGTGATAGGTCACCTTCTTGAATTGTCACAGTCTGCAATGTAAGTAGTTAACTAGTGCTATTAAGAAGGAATTTCCAGGCTTTTCACCCAGCAACACTGAAGGAACGTGATATATTTCAAGAAGCGCAAATGGCTGCAAAACCAGCGATAAAAAGCACTATATAATTGTAAAACCTTTTTTTAAATATTAAAAAAAGCATCATATTTAGCACCTGCATGTTTTCTCCCATTTCTCAGTAATGATTGGGATATGGGGACATTGTTCTTGAAGTGGAGTCACAGGTAGACAGGGCAATGAAGGCAGCGTTTGATACACTTGCCTTTATTGGTCATTGCATTGAGTGTAGGAGTTGAGAGTTCATGTTGCAGCTGTACAGATCATTGGTTAGGCCACTTTTGGATTATTAAGTTCAATTCTGGTCTCCCTGCTGTAGGAAGGAAGTTGTTAAACTTGAAAGAGTTCAGGAAAGATTTAACAGGATGTTGCCAGCGTTGGAGGGTTTGAGCTATAGGGAGAGGCTGAATAGGCTGGGGCTATTTTCCCTGGAGCATCGGAGGCTGAGGGATGACCTTATAGAGGTTTATAAAATCATGAGGCGCATGAATAGGATCAACAGCCAAGGTCTTTTTCCCAGGGTAGGGGAGTCGAAAACTAGAGGGAATAGGTTTAAGGCGAGGGAGGAAAGATTTAAAAAGGAACCTAAGGGGCAACTTTTCACACAGAGGGCGGTATGTGTATGGAATGAACTACCAGAAGTAGTGGTGGAGGCTGGTACAATTACAACATTTAAAAGGCATCTGGATGGGTACATGGAATAGGAAGGGTTTAGAGGGGTATGGGCCAAATGCTGGCAAATGTTTCTAGATTAATTTTGGATTATCTGGTCAGCGCAGACAAGTTGGAACAAAGGGTCTGTTTCCATGCTGGACATCTCTACGACTCTATGTGCCAGTTTCTATCACCTCCCCTAGTGGCCTGGAGATAGTCTAGTTGGTCGAAGTCGGCAGAACATTGTCCCTCAGTAACATTTTGGCTCAGCTGAGATAACAAGGTGTAGAGCTGGATGAACACAGCAGGCCGAGCAGCATCATAGGAGC